TGTACAGTTTACAAGGGAAGACTGCAGAGTGATGAAGTGTGTGGACTGTTCACCCAAGCGTGGGATATGGCGTTAAAACTCCTCACGTCCAGATAAACTCTCATGAACAATTAATTACCCATCAGTTAGATTTAATCTTGAGCCAGTGAGAAATCTATCATTTGGTCACAATTCTCCCTAGAAGAGAAATACTTCAGCTTGAGAAAGACTGTATGTTACTCTTCCTGAGTCAATTACTCACTTTTCCTGTTTCATCCCAGTTGGACAGAACACAGTAAGACCTTAACTACTAACACTGGCTTGAGTTAAAAGTCTATCTCTGAGACTTCTTGTGGTGAAATGGATAAGATTGGAGAGTTGTTTCTCATATTTATATCCAACGCTAGTGGAGTTGATTTTTTAGGGATTATTTTAGACACATATACATACATAACTGGATACACTCAGTTCTCCATATCTGTGGATTCCATATCCATAGATTCAACCTGCTATAGATAAAAACATTCGGAAAAAATTTGTGACTGCACTGAACATGTAGAGACATTGTTTTTCTTGTCATTATTCCCTAAACAATACAGTATTTCAACTATTTACACAGGATTTATATTGTGTTATTACTAAAAGTAATTTAGAGATAATTTAGAACATGGTTATCCCTCTGAATCTGTGAGAGAACCTCTTGGATACCAAAATCCCAGTTATGTGTGTTTCACAGCCTTGTTTATGCCCATATGTAGGAAACTCAAAAGTTATGTGGAAATTGGATATTGTTTGTCAGTAAGCTTCCTTACTCAAAGCATTCCCCATGCTTCCACCAAAATATAGACAATAATTTTATCAGCCTCTTTCCTACTACTTAAAATTACTTCTTCCACTTGGCCAGATGAGATTGGTCTCAGGCAAGTGGGCAGAAACTTGGTGAACAACTGCAGCTTGTTGAGTTTTTGTAGAGAAAATTAGTTGATTCATCACTATGAAAACTCAGGAATGTCATATAATGACTAACACTTTTTCCCTGGTACACAGGCGGTCCTTGTCCTTTAGGGATATTTTGCAGTCAAAAACACAACAGTTAGGAATGAACCTTTATCCTTGTTTTCTTCCCTGTTGCAACTGGATTTACTCATCACAGCAGAAATAGATGCTGTAGTGCTTCTGGCTTGGGGATCATTGATAGTGATTGAGTGGAGGATGAGAAGTGGCGGGGGATTAGTTACAGGGCATGCACAAGGCTCTGGGTTCAAACTCCAGCACCACAGAACAAAATAAAGCATGATGGTGCTGGGGATGTAGCTCAGCTGCACAGTGCTTGCCCGGAAAGTGCAAGACCCTAGGTTTGCTCTCTGGCACCGCAACATACATACATACATCTGTACACATACATACATACATACGTAAAATGAAGGAGGAAGAGGAGAAAAGAAAAAAAGGGGAAGTGAGACTAAATAAACTCAACTTTAACAAGCTAATGGCTTCATGAGTGTTGGAACAATGAGCATGCCGTGATGGTTTTTATTCCACAAACATTAACTCACAAACAGAGCCTCTTATGAGGTACACAGCAGGAAGACACAAGGTGGTGTATACATTCCTGACAACTCTGCAAATGTGTCCTCTACATTACATGATCTATGTTCACAAATCAGTGAATTGCCAGACTCTGCCATAAGCTTTAATGACTGGCTAAGCATGCTGGTTCTCTAGAACAACCTGGTAGGAGAAAGCTCTCATTTTTATGACTATGATATTGTGCATTGGAATTCTGTTCTGTTGCATGATTCATTGTTGTTGTGGGCTGTCTTTCATGACTTTGCCCTCTATTTCAGTCTATTGAAAGATCATGATTCTTCAATAGCTAGAAGCCAATATTCCTAATGTCTCCTATAGATCAGTCAGGAGAAGACTTTTGGTCCCTGGCTAGGCAGGATCAGTGCCACTCCTCAGCTTGAAACAGTTACTGAAGACAGACCTAAGCCTTCTGCACCCCCTTAAGAATAAGGGACCAAAGTGTTTGTGTGTGTGTGGGGGGGGGTGAGGTAGGATAGAAGAAGTGAAAAATAGGTAGAAAGGAGACAAAGAAATCACTATTTTAAAAATTATACTTAAAAAAAAAAGGTACAGTTTCAGGATACAAGCCCAATTTTATTTTATTTTTTCTTTTCCTTCTCCCAAAACAGCAAAACTGGGCAACTCCCTTTCAGCTACAAATAGGTCTGCCCATTCCCTTTGTACTTGAAAATGGTCCTCTTTCACCCATGAATAGTAAGCTATCCTCTCTTTCTCACTGGGCAAGACTAAGACTATTGTTACAGAGTTGTAGGGTGCTAGAGTCTCCTTCTGGAGGTGATTTCTAGGTCCTTTCTGTCCCAAACAAAGAATTGAACAAAACAATCATAAATGGTGGCGAAGTTTCACATTTATTAAGGTAGGAAAAAGGCAGAAGGATAGGGGAAAAACAGGCTGTACAGAGCGAGTTTTGGCCGAGTAAAAAGGGAGGAAAAATTAAAAATACACCCCCACAGTGTAGGGTGGGGTGACTGAGGAGGCATCTTGGCGAGCTCTTAATGGTGACTCTCTTTTTCATATTTCCTACACTGGTGTCACATCTAGGTCATCCCATCAAAAATGTATTTGAGGGGCGGGGGATTTAGCTCGGTGCTGCTGCCACCTGCATCGCAAGCGCAAGGTCCCAAGTTTGATCTCCGGTACCAAAACAACAACAACAAAAACAAACAAACAAAAAAACGTGTTTGAGTTCATGTGAGAAGTCCACATGCAGGGCCCTGAGAACTGTTCTGTACATGTGTTCCAGGATCTGGTCACACCTGCTTTCCCAGCCAGTTTTTTGTTTGTTTGTTTTGTTTTTTGAGATAGGGTTTCATTGTATAGTTTAGACTAGCCTTGAACTCATTATGTAGCCCAGGCTGGTCTTGAACTCACTATGTAGCCCAGGCTGGCCTAGAACTCACAGCAATCCTCTTGCCTCAGCCTCCGGAGTGCTGGGATTATAGATGTGAGCCACTTCGCCCAGTTTTCCCAGCCACTTTTAGCCACACTCTCTTCCTGCCTCACTGTGGGTTATTAAATTCCACCGATTCTCACCACTCAAAATACATAAAAGATCCCCAGTTCCCAACTGTATCAGGCCTCATTGCTCTGAGCACCTGCACTCTGCTCTTGAATATATCCTGTCTCTGCCTCTAATTGTAAGACCGTGGGCCTTACCAAATGCTCCGAGGAGCTGACTACAGCGAAGATCACCCGGGAGGGAACACACTGGACAAGTTGTAAAACAGACCTTTATTAGTCTGGCCAGACGGCACTCTCCAAGCACCAAGCTTAGAGAGGCGCCCGGCTCAGAGCCTGAGATCCTATTATAGGAGATGCTAGAGGGAAGTTGGCAAGCAGAAATACAGAAGTGAAATGCAGAAGGAATTTTTACAGATTGTCCTTAAAATAACATTTTCAGATATGGAGTTGGGCAAGCATGACAGAACACTATGCACACAACAGACCTTCCTGGCACAACAACAAGCACATCCCTGGAACTCGACGTCTACCTGGTGATCTGTAACAGAAGCAGACAAGTTGGGGCCCTATTACAAAATGGAGTACAAAATGGAGTAACTGTTGTTCAGTCTCACACTAATAAATGTTTCTTATGTCTCTTAAAAAAAAGAAAGAAAGTTTACATTCAGGACTCACTCAAAAGTGGGCCCATCAAAGATGCTAAAAAGGACTGAAGTTTACCTACAGTCAGTGGACTGCTTCCTCTGTGCACAAGGCACAATGGATGGAGTAACTTCCCATATTCCTCAGCCCTGAACTTGCCTGTGTAGTCAGTTGTCCCTTGGCATCCATCAAGGATTAACTCCAGGAATCCCTTGGGTACCAATATCTGTGGATGATCAAGTACCTTATATAAAGTGGCATAATATTTACATATATCATTTACATTTTCCCATATATATTAAATCTCTTATCTCTTTGATTTAAAATACCTAAGACAGTTAAGCTCAGTGGTGCCACCGCCTGGCTCACAAGTGCAAGGTCTTGAGATCAATCCCTGATACCAAGAAAAACCAAACCAAACCAAACCCCAGAAAGACAATGTAAGTGGTACATACAGTTGTTACACTGTATCATCTAGAAAATGGGGACAAGAAAAATGTCAATACCTGTTTAGTTCAGACACAATTTTTTCCTTAAATATTTTCTTTTTTCAATTTTTGGTACCAGTGATCGTACTCAGGTCCTTGTGTTTGCAAGGCAGTTGGTGGAACCACTGAGCTAAATCCCCAGCCCTCCTTAAATATTTTCAATCTGCATCAGGTTGAATTTGTAGATGTGGAACCTGTGGATATGGGGGTTGATTGAATTAGTAAAATTGGAAAGGACAGATTTAAAATGATGTAGATAAAAGAGAGAATTTATTGGAAGGCCCATATAACAGAAGGTTCAACAACCCAATTCCAGGAAGAGAAGAACATGACAGATGATGTAACCAGGGAATCCCTCTCTCCCTCATTCCTCCTCCCCACCCTACAGTTCTCTCTGGGCTGGAAGAATTCTCTTCCTTCTTCCCTGAAGAGAGGGTCTCTCCCCGTGATAGTGGAGCCCTAGCTTGGCATGTCTCACATTCTAGCCCTCTCCATATCTGTCTTCTCGGAAGGCTAAGCCCTCTGCATGGCTATCAAGTATTAAAGCTCTTCATGGCTCCATTGTGGCCTTTTTTTTTTTTGTTGGTACCGGGGATTGAACTCAGGACCTTGTGCTTGTGAGGCAGGTGGCAGAACCACTGAGCTAAATCCCTGGCCCTCCATTGTAGCCTTTTTACTCCCTCCCTCAGAGATCCTATACCTACAGCTTCAATAATCACCTCCACTTCAAGGGTTTCCAAATTTATTCTCCAACACAGACTTTCCCCAAAGCTCTTGGCCTGTGTATCTATCCTTGAATATCTCAAAGGTATTCGAAGATTTCTTCTTTTTTGATAACAGAATCCCCATATTGTTGGAAGTGGGAATGAGCCCAGCTGAAAAGACTACACCCCCCAGCTTCCTCTGCAACCAGGGATGGACGATGAGATGTAAACAGAAACAATTAAGGTGAGTGTTGGGGCTGACTCAGCTGGGAGATTTTTCATTTTTGTCCTTGTGCTTCCTCCTTCTGCCTGAAATGTGGACATGATAGTGGCATAGAGATCATCTTGAGACTATGAGAACCTGAAGGTGAAAACCACCATTAAAAGGGAAGAGATGGGCTGGGGATTTAGCTCAGTGGTGCCACCTGCCTTGCAACCACAATTAGATCCCCAGTACCAAAAAAAAAAAAAAGAAAGAAAGAAAAAGAAAAAAAAAGGAGCCTGGGATAAAAGTGCTTTTACCATATCTCTAGACAACTTTAAATGAGAAATTACAAATTTCTACCTTATTGAAGCCACTTCTATGTACAACTAAAGGACAAATACAATTCCTAACAGATATAGTAACTTCTTCCTACACTTCTATTCAAATCTGATGCCAGCTCACGCATTCCTTTTCTCCAGTCATACTGCCCCACCACACTCACTATGCTCTCTGCTGCTTCTTAGTCTTCTCCCATGCTGCTCCTAATGCTTAGATCTCAGCTCAGTCATTACTTCTTTAGGGAAGCCATCCTTGACCTAGGCCACCAGACTGGTTCACCCAGGATGGGTTCTCAAAGCATCCTCAGTCTCTCCTTTATTGCATATGTTCTTATTGTAATTTTACAGTTATTTCCATCATCTTTAGACACACATCTATCCCTCTCATTAGCCTTTAAGCCCCATCAGGGAAGGGGTTGTGTCTTTTCCTTCTTTTTATACTGTATCATTTACATATAAGCACAGTATTACAGTAAGTGTCCCAAGAGACAAATAAATACATGAATGCACCAGAAATGAGTTACTTTGGTCTTTCTGGTTCATATTTTTAAAACCCTGGGGAAGAATGCTGACTGGTCTGGCTATGGGCAAGTTTCTGCCTTAGGACTGTGGCCAAGAACGGGGCTATAAGAATATGGCAGCTCCCATTCAGACGTTTGGAGTAGGGAAAGGAACAAGTGCAAAGAAGGGAAAGGAGCTATATGTAACAATAAATACCCACCCCTTAGAGGCCATCCTTCGTGCTTATTATAGCCTGATTTTACCTGGCAGGGAAGGCTGGGAAAGAGGGCACATATGCAGGTCCTGCATGCACTAGTAAATGGTCAAGCCTCCTAACTCCTATATATAATGAGATGATTTTATTACATTCCCTTGAGATCTTTTATGCATTTGTTACCAATAGATGATAGTAAAAATGAAAAAATGTTATTTTATCTGATTTTATGACCTCCATTAAATTTCATAAACACTAAGAATACAAACATAAGATCTTTACTTAACCCAAGGCTCTTTCTGCCACCCACTCTCAGTCCCTTCTGCCCTCATTGTGTTCGACCCACCCTGTCCTCCTGAACTCGATCTTGCCTCAGGGACTTTGCACTGAACCTATCTGCCCCAGATCTCGGCAAAGAGGGCTCCTGAGGAGGTCAAGCCAGCAGAACTGCTATGAACACTTCTCCAGTTTGTACACTGTAAAGATGCTGGACTGAGGGGCTGGGAAAGTGTGACTTCAGTCCCAGTGCTGTCTTCTAAATTGTGTGCCCCAGTGAAGAGGTGCATTTTTTTCTCACCAAAGATAACATCCTGTGGCAAGTTTAAGGGTTTGTGGGGCTCTAACTAGAGGGAGATTTTTGTGTAATCTGTATGTACCATGTAAAATAAAGCTAGTGATGGCCCATGGTTAGAGACTGCCTCATCACAGCTGGAACATTTTCTCCTCAATTAGATGATGACCCTGTGGCTAAATTGACATTGGAGCCAAGAACCTTGAAACTTGGAGCACAGGTCAACCAGCAGCCAGTTGACCCATCTGACTGAAGATAAAAGAGTTAGAAGAGTTTCATGGGTGATCCTAAAAGCTGGTTCTTTGCTCTGCCTTATCCCGGGACTCTTGAGTTAGTCTCTTCTTCACATCAGGCACTTCATTATTCCACAAGGGTATTTTAGTTTCTGTAGTGTAATGGTTAACATGTTTGCTTGACACAGGGATATTCTCAACTCTCATGTCCTGGGGAGGGATTACAGGCACTGCCCCTAGGGAGTTTATAGTCTACAAGGAGACACACATGACCATCACACCAGCATGACATAATCACACTGAGATGAGGGTCAGGAAGGAGGGACAGGTGAGGTTTGAGAGCACTTGGTGACAGGATTTCACCTAAGGGGTTTGGAAGTGATTACAGTTGAGAAGGGCAGGATGTGTAGATGAGCAGCCAGACATGGAAGGTAGCCTGATGCCAAGAACAGGGCCGAGGTCCCTGAGACCTGGGCCTATTTCTGAGTGCAGGTCTCTCTTGTGCCCAAAGGCATTTCAAAGAGTGCTTTTTGGCCTTTAAGAAAATGCTATTATTTGTCACTGAGGTGACATTTGCAGGCCATGATGGCAAGTTATCTTTCAGGGTCCAAGCAGAGAATGGCCCAGTGGTGTTTGGCAGCTGGTTCCTTTCCACGTGAGAGAGCTGATTGTGCACATCTCCTTCGGACTCCACATTCAGTTACATCACCTCAGTCAGAAAGGGAGTATTTCTGGCAAGGAAGTCGGCAAACACCACAGATCAAACTCCCTGCCAAGTGAGGGCAAACATTTCTTACCATGCTACTGAGCACAGACCACCTCTCCCAGTGACAGAGAAAAAACTCGGTTTCTTAGAGCATCACAAATATTCTTGAAAAGGTTGGATTTATGACAAAGTGATATGATAGTTTGTGGATCCTGCCTGAGAGAGACAGAAAAAGAGAGATGCTGCTGACCCACATGGAAATCTAGCATGATTTCTGACATGTGTAGAACATTTGCTGACAATCGGCTTTCCAGAAGCAGAACCTCCTAAATTGAGAAGGATCAAGGTGTTGGAATTGATCAGTCAGTGCTGCTGGTGATTCCCTCCATGGTCAGATGCTGTTACCAGGGTCAAGGGGCAGAGAGTAAAGGTAACCAAAACCTCATTCCTCCCCTCTGAGGACTAGCAGTTGGTCAGCAACATAGGACAGGTACAAATTATGTGTATAATTCTCATCTCCTGCGTTCAACCACTTCAGTGCTTTGGGAGGGCCTGATTCAGATGAGACACGTCAGGAGAGCATGAATCATCCTGGTCATCCTTGTATTTTTCACAGACAATCTCAGCATAAAAGATGTTGCCTCTTGAACTAATGCATCCCATGAAAGAGAACCTGGTAAATTCACATAGCTAGATCATCTCCTCACCCCATGTTCATCAGTCCATCCTGATGAACTCAGCTTAGGGAACCCCTGAGAAGCCTTCCCTAGTGCCCCTGAGACTGAGGAGATGTGCCACTCATAATCTTTGACTTCCCAGGATGTTTTCATACCCCATCCACTGGGATGTCTTCATCTTGTTCAATCTTCTAGCACTGGTTCATGGGACAATGTTTGGCCTGGTAAGATCTAATGTATTAGCTGGGTGTGGTGGTGCACGCCTGTAATCCCAGCACTGGGGAGGCTGAGGCAAGAGGACTGCTATGAGCTGGAAGACAGCCTGAAGGACATATTGAGTTGAAGGTCAGCCTGCACTACATAGCCAGACCCTGTCTCAAGAAAAAACAAAGCAAAACAAAACAAAAGATCTAATGTATGAATATGGGGAATGTGTGAATATGGGTGCAAAGAGGAACTTGAAGTTCAGAAAAGATTGGAGAAAGACACAATTAACATGCTCCTCTTTCATGTGAGTCATATGAAGGGCAGCAGAATGTGACCTCAGAATATGCCATGTTGGCAAAAGGATTATTTTGAGCTGAAGGCAACTGAGAAGGAGCAGATGCAAAGAAAGCTCTCTGGTATACTCCTATTTGCTTCAAAATAGGACATAAATTTGTAAAGATGTCCATCCTCCTCTCTCTACCAAGAACAGAAGTTAATCATAGGACACAACTAGACTTCTGTCAGCCCAAGAGGACACTCAAGGAAAGCTTCTCAACAAACCTCAGTCTGCAGCCCTCAGCCTCCCTCAGTGCCCCCATGTATCTCTTTTCCTACATTTTGGTGTCCTAGGAGCTCCCCTTTCCTTTGTCTTGTCACTGCTGTACAGTGTATTTATTTTTTCATTCATCAAGATGCCACATGAACCCAGGTCCCCCCACCTCCTTGAGTTACTTGTCAGTGGGTATTCCTCTGTGAAAGCAGGGTGCACACTCTAATAGACTCATTTGTGTTTCCCTGTCACCAGTCTGATTTATAGGAGAATTTAGGAGGGTAGCAGGAAAATGGCTTTAGCTTTATTAAACCTTACAAACAACCCTGTAAGGGTATTTCTATTATTCTCATCTCATCATACAGAGAAAGAACTGAAGATCAGAGTTGCTAAGTAGCTTACCCAAAGTCACACAGCTCATGAAAGGAGGAGGTAATTTTTTTTTATTAAATTCTTTTATTGGTACATTGTAGATATACAACACAATTACATTTCTCATTGGGAATTGTACCTTTACATGATGCATCTTGGTTCTTATTTTTTCCC